AGAATTCAATTGAACTGTTGTACACTATTTGGTATCAGAGAATCACAGAATTGGGTGGTATTAGAGGGGAAACAAACTTCTCAGATCCCTACCCCAGGCAAGCTGGAGATGGAAATCCCTACCTGTCTTACTCTAGAGCCCAATTTCTATGCATATGCCAAGTGGTTGAGTGAAGAAGTCTTCTTCTTCAAGGAAGGCTTTGGCTTCTGTGAGAGAAAGGTTCATCTAGTTCTAAAGTTTACAGTGAGCTATAGCAATACTGGAAGTATAAAAATTTCATGGCATATGCATTACTCCCAGCTCTGAATTTCCCACAATCTGAAGCTCCCATAATATGTAGCCAAGGGTAGGGATGAGAAGAACAGCATCTTCTGAACCTTTCTTCCTAATACATTGCAAATAGCACAAGATCTTCCAGGTCCCTGAGGTAACATATTTAGACATCAGAGAAAGGAAATGAAAGCTACTCTCAATACTGAAATTTTCTTCAGTCTGAACACTCCTGAAAGCTCCAATACCTCAGGGATTCAGATGATAATTATCACTCTGGCACTCCCTAAAACTTTCCAACTTTATGTCAGAGTTATCATCAAGCCTACTAGGACTGCTGCTTTTTGAAACTCTTTTGAACTTTTGCCAAGATGTATACCATCTCATCCATCCATCTCATAGTTCCCTAAACCTGGTGTGCTGATTGAGTATTATTATTGTATTGAGTTTTATTATATGTATATTATACACTAATAAAGCTGAATAAAAATGGTGAGACAATACAGGTTGCTTTACACTTGTGCTCTTTCTCTGGAAAAAGATATACAAACTTATCCCTCTCACCCTCACACACAATTTTTAGAACACTTGAACATTTTTCAAAGAATACTTCCTCTGGGATTCAGGATCCAATCTGTTTCTCTGACTTATTCAAACCAAAGTAAACACTTCTACAGACTTAGGTTCCATTCTTTTTCTTAGGCTGTATCACATTATTTTGATTTCCTCATTGGTTTGTGGGATTCTCTCCTGATTAGATTGTGAACTCCTTGAGAGCACAGTTGTCTTTTTAAATTCTGTATACTAGCACCCAGTTCAGTTTCTTGAACATAGCCTGTCTTCTAAATGAATAAATAAGTGAATAAACAAACTTGTTAGATGACTTAGAGAAAATCATTTCGATTCACTGTAAATTTGCATGATTTAGAACAGGGATTATTATTGTTCTCAGAACTTTTTGAAGACAAATTAATTATTACCAGCTTAAAAATTCTCGCAAAATTAAAGAGATATAAAGCAGATCAGTGGCTGCCAGGGAAGTAGGGGGATAGCACTGACTAGAAAGGGTCATGAGGAAACTTTCTGGGGTGATGAAAACGTTCTATAGCATGATTGTATTGGTGATCGCATGATTGTGTTGGTGATCACATGACTATACACATTTGTCAAAATGCATCAAATTATAAGCTTAAAATTGGTGACTTTTATATATGTATACTATATGTTAATAGAGCTGAATCAAAATGCTCTGGATTCTCAGAAAGAAAAGAGTTTTAAAACCCAAGACCATGAAGGTAATCCAGTTAGATATGTAAAAATAACATAGATCTGATAATCAAGACACTTAGGTTCCAACACTAGTTCTGCCAGATAGGTGATCTTAAACAAATTGCTTAACTTTTCTGGGACTCATTCTCTGCCTCTTTTAAGGGACAACAATACCTGCCTTACCTTTCCAGGGTACAAGGCTCAAAAGAGATAATGGATGTGGTTGCATTTTAAAAAGATCAACACTTATATTATTGTGATCAGAATCTCTACTCTATATAGAAAAATTTAATCAGATCCAGAGAAGACCTCACCTAGAACCCAGAGTCAAGGGAAATATACTGAATCCTGAAACTCAAAACCCACCCTCCCCAACTCCTTTAAAGCAATTTCTCCTTACCAGTTGATTATTAAATTTCCTTTGGAAAGTGTTTGTTCAGTCTAGCCTTGAGAAGAAGAGACTGGCTAAATTTAACTTTGGGAATAAAGTTGGTTGGCTTTTTGACAGGTGACACAAGCAAGTTGTAGAAGAGAAAGGAAACCACTGAGGGGGAGCCAAAATTTTTCCCTCAGAGTGCTGGTGACCTGAGTACTGGTTGTGACCCCACCAGAGCTTCCTGATTTGGTGGGGTTGGGCCACTGTCATAGCATGCTCTCTTGTCAGAGATCATCAGCTGATGCTCAATCTTCCAAGGCCAAGACCAGCCAAGTTGGGGACCTAGAGGAAGCAGCAGATGGTGGGGGTTATGGGGGCAAAATATTGCTGATCCATTTGCTTTAAGATCTACTGCAGATATGCTGCCACCTTCCCCAAGTGGGAATATGAAATAGATATCAGGTCACTGGGCTTGGAGCCACAACTAGGTTTACCCTGACTCTAATATCAACTTGCTTTTTGACCTTGGGAAATTCTTTTCTCTCAGTTTCATTTTCTCATCTGAAAAATAGAGATAACCCAGTCTTCCCAAGTATTAAATGGTATTATATGTTAAAGTTGCTCTCTTAGCTATAAGATATGCATAAAGATAAAGGGAGATAAAGCTCCCTTTAACTCCTGGCATGGTTAATAGGAGACCAGCCTGAATTAAGTATTCCCCTGGGACAGGGGCCATAGCACCTACCATCTGACTAGACTACCTCCCTCTGATCTGCCTATTTAATCCCTTCCCATCCTTCAGGGTCCAGCTCAAATTCTATTCCATCTAAGAAGTCTTGAATATTGTAGGCTACCATGAGACTCTTCTTTTTAACTTAGATTTCTCCCTTGAAAAAGTGTTTTTCTCTCAACTCTGCATTCTTCAAGGATGTGAAAGAGCAGAGATCTAGGTCCTGCATTTTTTTTTGCACTCATACAGAAGGTTTGGGTCCTGGTTCTACCATTTACTAGTAGGGTTACTTTAGGTAAGTCATGTCCCTACTTTGAGCTTCAGCATTTTCATATACAAAATGGGGATGATATTTATTGACAGGTTTGCTATGATGTCAAATGAAATACTGGATTTGAAAGCAATTAGTAAAATATCACAGAGATCTAAGCCATTTTTATTACTATTATTACTATCATAACTACTATAAAGACCAAAGGCTAAGCAAATCTTCAAGAAGTGTTTAAGCATTTCAATCCTGTGAATGACATAAAGTCCCCCAAGATTTCCTTGGTGACCCTTATCACTTCCCTAAACCATTGATCCTGGATATTTTATCCTGTTGGGACCACCTCCCTGTATTTCACCTCTTGGGGCCTTACAAAGTCTGGCTTCCCCACAGAAAAGGTCTTATCACAAATGACTAGTTGCTGTCTTTGAGCATACACAAATTACTGATTAGGAGGATTCTGATCATTTTTTCTCTTAGTAAAAAGAAGACTAACATGGACACCTGGCTGAAATGAAAATAGGTGTTCAGACCTGTCTGTTGATGCCCTTTATATTAAGAGAAATGGACCAGCCTGAGTCTGGATCAAGGAAATCAAGTGATGGAAAGTTGGCAAGAAGGCAACTGAGCAGAGGCAGCAAACAGAAGAAAGCAAGTCCAGTGCCATAGAACTTTCCCTCTGGGCCTCACTTTTCAACTCCCAAACTAAAATAAAACAAAACAAAACAAAACAAAAACCTCTCAACTTCACAGCACATCTCCTTGACCAAGAGTTTTTAGGTGGAGGTTGTCATGAAACAGGCCTGAACTACTGTGACTAGAAGCTTATTTCTGAGCAAAAATATTCAAGTTGGAGGATAGTGAAAGTGAAAGGTAAGCCATTAGGCCAGATATCTCTGGGGGTTGCATTCTTAACTGTAATTGCTCACCAGACTTTAACCACAGATCTGTAGCCTTCTGTATCCAAACATACTTGCTCCCACATAGATTGACTCATGCAGGCACACAGACACATTATAAAGCAGGCATCTATATACACCTCAAACAAGAAGATGTAAATGAACAGATCCATAGATCCAAACACATACAAAAAAGTACCAGATGTCAAAACACCCAAAGATACACTCAGACAAAAAGATTATGTATATATATATTATATATTTATATATATATTTATATATATATATATATATATATATATATATATATATATATATATATATATATAGAGAGAGAGAGAGAGAGAGAGAGAGAGAGAGAGAGAGAGAGAGAGAGGAGTACGAGACGACGACGACGAGACGTAGTAAGTAAGTAAGTAAGTAAGTAGTAAGTAACGTTAA